TCAGTGGAGCACAACAAAAGACCATTAATATAATTTGTGTCTGGATATTGTGCCACTCTCCAAATTGGCTGCTTTTGCCCCAAAGACCAGCGAGCGTTCCTCGGCTCGTCCTAAACGATTATGACGGGGCTTGAATGCGGAGCCAACATGCCACAGTTTTCGTATCGCATTGTTTACTCTGCTTGGGCTTCCTTCCCGATTCTCAGTTCCCAGCTTCCAATTCCAGATCAAATGGGCCGCTGACACGATCGTGTCGTCGCCCTCGGTATTATAGCGTGGGCGTGTGTGGGCTTTTACTCTTATTTATTTAGCGGATTCGACGAAATGACCAGACAATTGCCTCGCTGTCGTTTAATTTTTATTGCCAAACATCCGAATTGGGCTTAATATGAACTAATGGCGCAGTAGCCCCCCTCAGGGACAGATAAATCAATATAGACAAATGTACTCACAACAAGCCAAATAGCATTACAGGCGTTGGCGTTTGGCTATTAACGTGCTGATTGGCGATGGGGAGGAGGGCTTGACGATGGAACTGACCGATTTGAAAAAGTCGTGATATGAATTAATTCTAGCGATTATTATTTTACTTACTCCGTTTGTGACGCTGGTTCTGTCTCCTTTTCTGCTCATATTTTCGTATTCTATCTGTCTTTCCTTTCGGATTACATATTTTTACCATTTTCTGTATTGGGCTTTTCATATGGCTTTGCCTCTCTCTCTCTCTCTCTCAAACACACACACACACACGCAGACTCTCTTCCTCGATGTCTGTCTCTCTCTCGCACTCTCTCTTTCTATCAATCTATATCTCTTGTCTTACATTTTCCAATAATCATGAGTATTATGTACTATTTTGACTAGACCTTTTTCCTCTCTCTATCTCTCTCTTTCAACCACTATTATTATCACTCTCTGTTTCTCATTCTATATGTATGTCATATCGTATCTCTATAGCTCTCTCCGTATGCATCTCTATCTCTTCAATCTCATTTTGTTTCTCTATCTCTTATCTTCTCTCTCATTTCTTCTCAATCTCACTTCGCCCTTCAATAACTCTCCTTCTCTCTCTCTCCCTCTCCCTCTCTCTTTCTCTCTCTCTCTCTCTCTCTCTTTAACGCTTCTTTGTAATCTTGATTATAACAATAAATCATGTGCTTCATTCCATTATAACAGCAACTATAAATAGTATTCACTGCAAAGCTTCTCCCTTTCGCAACTCTCTCCCTGATTTGTGTGTCTTTCTCTTCAACAACTATTCATATAGAAAAGTCTTCTTTATTTGCTATGCTTACAAAATATATAAAACGAAAATCGACAACTATAGGAATGTGTCCATCTTAGAGGTGGTCCCATAGCAAAGGCTTATCTGCTTGCCAGTTTCTTCCTTAACTTCGATTCGAAGAACCTTTCAAATGAGGCAACAAATCAGTGACAAGAACAAAACGCTGCGGTTACCAGCGAATTCAGTCATAAACTAAATGGACGAGCCAAGACAGAGAGAAAGAGATAGAAAGAGAGAGAGGGGGAACAGGTTCGGCCCAGACCCTAGTCCGGTCTGGCCTGGCCTGGTATCATAAAGAAAAAGTCTTTATGAGACGCCTGGCTAGATGACAACGTTGCCGGCAGACGGCGATTGCGTTTGATGATAATGAAGACCTTGCGACAATGTTCTCACTTGCGTTGATCCGTTGCCTAATGATGGGAGTCATGATGGGGATGTGGCTGGGGCTGATGGTGAAGCAAAGTGTGGACCACACGCATTGGGCCCAGAACTTGCCATTTGTGTGCTGCTGCATGCTGCATGTGGCAAGCATGTTGGTTGGCATTTTTTTGGAAATTGTTTTGTTGCTGCTGCAGCGCACTTTCATTTTCAGTGCGGCCCCGTCGCATAATTAATTGCGACCGAAAGTGGACAACAATTTGAGCAGCCGTCGCAGAAAGTAAAATGCGCGCCAAAGGAACAACGAACCTGTCCAACACACAAAAATAAACCGGATCATCAATAGCAGGCTAAGAGCTGGACGCTGGGATGCTGAGAGATGGGTGCTGCATGAAGCTGGGCAACTTTCTTCTTGCTGCGGCAGTTGCTGCTGCTGAGGCAGTTGCTGCTGCTGCGGCAGTTGCTGCTGCTGCGGCAGTTGCTGCTGCTGCTGCTGCTTCTGACACACTAAACTGACGCAACGTGCCGCAACAAGTGCAGAGCATTCGCCACATATCTGGCTGCCACATGGGACGCCCACGAGACGGCGACGGCGGCGGCTTCCTGCCGAGAAAAAGTGGCAAAGACTGTGGCATAAATGAAAATTAAGCATGTTTATGGCAAGTATGCGAAAAGGTGCAACAAGCATTGATCGGGGGCAGGCTGCCTTGTGCCTTGTTCATGCCTCATTCACACGCATACTTGAGGAGGAGGGAGCGTTGAGGCGATGGGGCTAGTGGTCCAGGAGAGGGGGCATGACAGAACCAGTTTAATGGCGCATGAAATTTCACCGAAAAATCAGCGAATCTGCGTCTAGCTAAGGTGGCAAACGTTGCAGCATTTAGTTGCTGTTGTTGTTGCTGTAGCGGGCGGGAGGCGTGGCATAGCAAGTTGATTTGCTTAAAAGAAATTCACTTTCCTTTGGGGCTTTACATCTTGTTGTTGTTGTTGTTTTCAAATGCGATCGCCACGCGAAAAGCAAAGGCAAAGAAGGTCACGTCGCTGTAGATCATGAGGATTCGACAAGACCCAGGCGAGTCGCGATTCGAGAGCTGCAACTAGCGACTCTGTGGAAGCTGGTCAGAGCCAAAAGCCAGCCCGAGTCTAAGTCTAAGGCTAACAAACCCAAAAAGCAAACACAATTGAATGCAACTTGCATTCGCAATGAGCGAAAAATACTTTTAATGAAAGTTGGCACTTTGCTTTCGGCTGTGTCTCTTCTTTCTCTCTTCCCCTCTCTCTCTCTCTCTCACACACACTTTTTTTTTTGTTTTTTTCTCACTCGTTTTGGGGGTTTTTCAGATTTTGATTTGTGGCAGGCGACATGGAAAATGACAAGGAAAATGTTGCTTCATTGCATTGTGGCTACGTTTGGCTGACTCCAAAAGAGTCAACGTGCAGTTGGCCAAAAATTGTTTTTGTTTTAATTTTTTTTTTTTTTGTAGCCTTTACTAATTGGCGGAAAAAAAATCTGACTAGATTGAATTGGCATCGAGATGTTCTACTTTTTGACTACGATTACCTAAGCTAAACTATATTAAAATAAACAAAATAAATTTAAAAAA